CTATAATTGGTCTCATTCTGTTTTAGTTGCTATTTATAGCTTCATAGTAAGTATTGAGGTTTGGTAGGAAAAAAGCTTCATTTATTACTCAAATTCAGAATTGCTACCCTTGGCCATTTTATGATCAGCTTATGAAATTCTATGAAAATTCTGTTGAGCTTTTACTGGAATTTCTTTGAAATTATTGATCAGGGGATAGATGTTATTTGTAAATACCATTTGAAACCTACTTTTATATCTTTAAGTAAAGTTGATAATTTTCTCAGTTATTGTTCTTACATATCTTTTTTAAAAGAATAATTTCTAGGTATTTATAGTTTATAGTTGATGTATAAGGAAATGCTGTTGATTTGGGTGTGCTGATCTTATATTCACAAACACCGAATTCTCTTATGAGAGCGTTTTGGATTTTTTTGTGTAAACAGTAACAATGCCCCTCCTCCCCCTGCACCACCAGCCAGGCCTTATGGCTTTCCACCCTTATTATTATAAGTTCCATCTAAGGGCCTCCAGTAAACGGCTGAATGCAAGTGGTGATTGCAGGCAGTAGTTATTACCAGTTTGACTTTAAAGAGAAGACTTGCAGTATTTCATCATGAAGTATGATTTTTTTTTTTTTTGCTTTACATTTTTGGTAAATTGCTTTTAAGTGAAAAAAATTAATTTTAATCCCTATTTTGCTGAGTGATTTTTCTTTTAAATCATTGGATGTTAAATTTTACCAACTTCTTTTTCTGCATTATTTGAAGTTAGCACTTACTTTATTTTTTCTTTTTTCTGTTCAATTTTAACCTGTTTACTTAAAGATGTAAAAACCTGCCCTGGCTGGTGTAGCTCAGTGGATTGAACATGGGCCTGCGAACCAAAGGATCGCAGTTCCATTCCCAGTCAGGGCACATGTCTGGGTTGCAGGCCAGTTCCCAGTGGGGGACCCATGAGAGGCAACAGTACATTGATATTTCTCTCCTTCTCTCTTTCCCTTCCCCTCTAAAGATAAATAAATAAAGTCTTAAAAAAATAAAGATGTAAAAACCCTTAATAAAATAATATAGCAAACCAAATCCAATTTATTATAAAAACAGTACATTGTGGCAAAAATTTGTAATACTTTTAAATGCCAGTGCAGCTATTTTTACCACAATGTACTGTTTTTATAATAAATTGGATTTGGTTTGCTATATTATTTTATTTAGGCTTTTTGCATCTTTAATCATACATTAGGTTAGCCAATAGTTTTCCTTTCCCACAAACTTTATTTTGGTACCGAGTTTATAACTAGCATCACAGAGTAAGTCAAAGAGTACTCCTATTTTTCCATTCCTTCCTACTCTTAGGTAGAGGCTGTGTAATGCAGTGGTTAAGGATGTGCAGTCTGGAACAAGATGCTTAGATCTGAACCCTTACTCTGAATTCTTAGTCTACCATTTACATGTATTGCCCTCCCCCCCTTATAGGTTAATACCGTCAGGTATTTTGCTCTGAGTGTCCTGTGAAACAGTCATTATTTTTTATTTGTATAACTTTTGGGGAGGCACTCTCTCTGAGTCTCTGTAAAATATAGCTCCCCTTGTGTAGTTCTTTCATAATTTAATTCAAATAATATCTGTAAAATACTTAAACAGACTGTAATAATACCCAATAAATGTTTTCATTTTAAAAAATATTTTATTTATTTATATTTAGAGAGAGGGGAAGGGAAGGAGAGAGGGAGAGAAACATCAGTGCGTGGTTGCCTCTTATGTGCCCCCTTACTGGGGACCTGGCCTGCAACCCAGGCATGTGCCCTGACTGGGAATCGAACCAGTGACCCTTTGATTCATAGCCCATGCTTAATCCACTGAGCTATGCCAGCCAGGGCTGTTTTGAATTTTTTATTCTATACTCTGATATAGTGTGAGATATGGATTATTAGTTCTCTGAGGATTTTGAAGAAATTGCCCGTAAATTGAACTTGGGGTGTATGTGTCATGTATTTTTTGGCAGGGAAGAAGGGAACAGATTTTTAACTATTGATTTAGCTTCTTATAATGGGTGAATGTCCAGTTTTGTTGAAGTTATGTGTTTATACCACTGGCTGGTGTGGCTCATTGGATTGAGTGCTGGCCTACAAACCAAAGGGTCACTGGTTCAATTCCCAGTCAGGGCACATACATGGGTTGCAGGCCAGGTCCCCAGTGAGGGGGCACATAAGAGGCAACCACACACTGATGTTTCTCTCCCTCTCTCTCCTTCCCTTCCCCTTTTTCTAAAAATAAATAAATTCTTTAAAAATATTATGTTTATATGATTTTAAAAATCTTACTTATATCTTTAAGTCTTCTTTTCATTTGCCTTTCCTTGGTTAATTCAGCATAATTTGTCTATTTTATTTCACTATTTCATTCCTCAAAGAACTAGCTATTGGATTTTTTAATATTCTTTATTTATTTCTGGTCTTTTATTTTCTTTACTAGAACTTTTTTTGTTTGTTTTAATATTTATGAATTTTTAATTCTCCTTTTTTCCTTTATGTATGATTTTATGGCTATGAATTTTCCTTTAAGAACCACTTTAACTGTTGCCTTCTCCTGATTTCCTGACCTATTTCCTGATTCTCATTTTTATGTTATATTCTTTATTGGATTACATTTCTCAAAAAGAATAAGTGAAACAAGCATAGAACAAGGCAGAACTTTGAAGAAGTCCAGCAGTTAAGGGACAGGTAAAGGAAAAAGTGAGAGTGCGGTTAGAGAAGTCAAGGAAAGGACAAAGTAATCATCAACGTCAATGGCAGTATAGACTGGTGCAGCCACTGTGGAAAACAGTATGAAATCTCTTCAGAAAATTTAAAGATGGAACTTCCTTATGACCCAGAGATTCCACTGCTGGGAATATACCCTAAGAATCTTGAAACACCAATTCAAAAGAACTTATGCACCTTATGTTCATAGCAGTGCTATTTACAATAGCTGAATGCTGGAAACAGCCCAGTTATCCATCAGTAGATGAGTGGATGAAAAAGGTGTGGTACATTTACACAATGAAATACTACACAGGAGAGAGATAGAAGGAACTCCTACCTTTTGCAAAAGCATAGATGGAACTGGAGACTGTTATTCAGATTGGAACAAGCCATTCAGTGAAAGACAAATACCATATGACCTCACTTAAAACTGGAATCTAATGAACAAAATAAACTAAGGAGGAAAATAGTACCAGAGACATGGAAATATGGAATAGTGTGATAGCTATAGGAGAGGAGGAGGGAGTGGGGAATGGTGGAAGGAAGGGGAGGGATTTGTCAAAGAACATGTATGAGTGACTCATGGACATGGACAACAGAAGGGGATTGACTGTGGGCTAGAGGGGTATGCTGGGTGGAGGGGGGCAAAGGGGAAAAAATTAGGACACCTGTAATAGAATAAACAATAAAAATAATAATGTCAAGTGTGTTGATCAAAGAAAGATTGAGTTATTCATAGAATTAAACACGTACGTTGTGACTTTGTTGAGAATAGTTGCAGTGAAGTTGTACCTAAACACTTTATAATTTTCTTGAGGAATGAGTGAAGATGAAGTAGTAGAAAATGTAAATCTTTTTTTTAGATAATTTAAAAGATTTTTTTTTAGTAGAGAAAATAGGTAATTCTATTTCATAAAAGGGGAGAGATATATGTCCACTTAAAAAGTCATCTGAGGGTGGAGGAGGTTTTTGGTTGCTTTTATATATCTTTTGTTTTAGGGGTTTTTTTTACCATTGATTTTTAAATGCTTATGGGAAACAAAACAGGAGAAGATGAAAATAAATGCAACAGAAGCAATAGCCAACAGAGTAAGGTCCTTGTGCTTGGGATAGAGAATGGGACAGATAAATGGAAGGAACATAGTATGTGACCTGTAGAGGTAGCAGTGTGGTCAGAATCTGTTTAATGTCTTGATTTACAATTTCAAAAATGGAGCAATTTTAAATGATGAGACAAGGCATAAGAATGGGTGGTGGAGTAGAATAAAAGTAAATGTCTGGTGAGAAGAGATGAAAACTATAATTAGTTAAGGTGGCGGTTATGTGTTACAAATGGGATTGCTCCAATTGATGAAAGGGCATGACCTGGTAAGGGCATGACCAGGAAGTGACTAGTGAAGTGCAGATGGAATATTCACAAAGCTTACCACAGTTAGCTTCAGAAGGGGTGCGTTTCATACAAGAGTGTAGGAGTGAGGGTTTACAGACAGTGAAGGGTAGTGAGAAGGCCACTAGCCTGACGTTTCGACGCTGCAGTTTATGAGACGTACAGGCATGAACAGCTTCAGTTTGAGAAGGTTGTTCTTAGGAGAGCTATGCTTCAATTAAAGCAAGGAAGTGGAAGGATCATTCAATGAAGATAATAGCATTAAGGGAAGTTTGTGTGCTTGAGTCGAGGCTTAGACTAGTAGCAGAAAGAAGATGACCTAAGGCATCTGGTTAGTTCCACAATGGCCAGTGTTCAAGAAACAAGTTTGGGTCTCACTCTGCCTAAGGAGCTGTAAGACTGTGTATTGTTGTATTTAAAACTTCCTGAAATTAAAACCAGTTTCCCTATCTCAAGAAATATCCATTGATAAATCCAACCTATTTTTTACTGATAATTTTCTCTTAATGTTAAAGTTTATTTTGCAACAAAATACAGATTTCTTATAAATATATTGATTTTTAATATTAATGGTTTGTTATCTTGGGTAGATTTTTAAATCTTCTTGGTTAGTAATGTCAGATTTTGTATTAAAGCTTCATTTGTTTATGTTCATTTCTGTTTATTTTTAGACATGCTTTAATTTTTGTTATATTTTATTTTTTACTTCTTAATTTTCCTGAGGAGCAGTGAAGGTGATGGAGGATGGTAAAGGTTCAGTTGCTTACTTCAGTAAAGGTAGATCGAATAGTTACATATTAGTAACATCAGTGGTCTTGTGTGTCTTTATAATGTATATAAAGGAGCATTGGATTTTATGAGCTGTCCTGTTTCTTTATGTTTGGTTTTCAGGGACCATGGCTAAACCTGCCGGATCATTGGGCAGAAGCAGTAGCTTGTGTCGCTCTCGTCGCAGCATTGTGCCCGCCTCGCCGCAGTCCCCGCGTGCTCAGCTCGCTGCACATACTCCTCACCCGCCACACGCTCGGCATGTCCACCATGCTCAGCTCACACAGCACGCGTTGACTTCTCCTGATCCAGACATCCTCTCAGTGTCCAGTTGCCCTGTTCTCTATCGGAGTGACGAGGAGGAGGAGGCCATTTACTTCTCTGCTGAAAAGCAATGGTATTGGCGGTGCATGAACTGTAGCATCTGTTGACGGGGGTGTGTTGGAGGTGGGAGTGGGTGGGTGGGAGTGATGTGCAACACCCAGTTTTAGCACCCAGCTCTGTATGCCCGAGTCCTAGCTCAGTGTGGCTGGGCTTTCTGCCCAGGGTCTGACAAGGCTAAAATCAAGGTGTTGATTGAGCTTTGCTCTTTCTTATCTGCAGCCTCTGGGCCTCTTTTGGTTGTGGAAGAATTCAGTTCCTTGGGGCTATATCACCGAGGTCCAGGTCCCCGTGCTTGTTTTCAGCCAGGGGCTGCTCTCAGTTCTTAGATGCCATTCACTGTTCCTTGCTACATGTGACTTCCATCTTCAGAGTCAGCAACAGAGAATTGCCTCTGTCAAATCTTTGTTTTGAATCTCCGACTTCCTCTGTATCTGATCTCTAGGCTCAAATTGAAAAGGCTCATCTGAATAGTAATCTCTTTCTATTAAGGTAGACTGGTTTGGGGCTTTAATTACATCTGCAAAATCTCTTCTAGGTTTGTGTTTGAAAACCTGACTGGGAGAGGGTATCTGTGTACCAGGTCTGGGAGTTTGGGGACCATGTTAGAATTCTGCTCACTATAGACTTAGGTTGATACTTTGAGATCCAGCTTTAGAAGAGGCCATAGCACACAGTTGACTCAAGTCTCCAAACATAAACTTGTCTCATGAACAGTTTTATATGTAAAATATGCTTTTGTATAAAAGCATGAGCTTAAATATATTTAAGCACAAAGAAACATTAAATATGACCAGCTGAGTTTTTAAAATGTTTGTTGTCAGTTAATGATTCATTGTTATGTGCTGGTACTTGGTAAAAAACAAGAAGTATCAGATGCCAGAGGTTTAAGAAAATGTGGGGAACTTGAAGGAGGAATTTCTATTCATGCTGTTTTTTTCCTATAAAATGGGCATGGTAGCAGGGTATTCTAGCCCAGCCAAAGGACCCCACTCCTCCATGAGGCTTGTTGCTATGGGATCTTTCTGAACCACTGCCCTTTTTTGAAACAGTGTGGTACTGACAGGACAACTGGTGTTAGTTTCTGATTTTGCCACTTAATAGCTGTGTAGCCCTAAAGTCTCATTGTCCTCGTATGAGAAACACAGCTACGTGAAGTGGGCTGGAACCTTTCCATGTTTCTGTGTAGCTCAATGTCATGTGATTCTTTAGTCAATGTCATCATCAAATAATTTTTTTTATATTCGTAATTCTTTCCCATACTAGTGAAAGTAAATTTTTATGATCAGCAAGTGATCATAATTATAGCATATTTCTAAAATGGTAGTCCACATTTTGTATTCTCATTGCAAGTGGAGAATTTGAGGCAGGCAGTTTTGCTTGGTTAGTACTTTATGATTAGCTATTTTATGTAACCTTTGCAATAAACTACAGTCACCGACAAGATAGCTTTACTGGCAAAACTAATTTTGTGTGGCTTATGGAAATTAGTGGGAAAACTCCAGAGCTCTGCTTCCCAATAGAATTTTTTGAGTTGATGGAAGTTTTCAGGTCTCATTTCATATTTAGGTCTCATGTCACAAATTCATAGCTAGCTCAGAAATATGAGAAGAATTTGTGGTTAGAAAACCTTTCCTCTTCTCTGTTTCAGTCTTCTAAATGTTGAAGCAGCAGAAGCTTACAAAATAATAATAATAATAATAATAAAAATTTACTCTTTACTGATGTTTTGTGTCCTATGCATTATGCACATAGATGCTCATTTAAACCTCACCTGAGTTGTCTTGTTATTTATGCATTAAACTTACATGAGTTCAGCCACACATCACTGTGGGGGAAAAGGAAATAGAAAAATACCATAAATGGTACACAGAGTTAAATTCAACATACCAAAGAATATATGTTCTAGAAAACATGGGAGATTTTAGGGTCCACTCTCCCTACTCTCTGGATCTGAGTAGTTAGGCAGAAGATGCAGCCCTTCAGATTATTTGTTTCGTAATTAGAATGTTAGAACTAGAAGTATTAATAGAGAGTAATAGAGTTCTCTTAACTTTTACAGGAAAGTTAACTGGTTAAATTAAGTGCTTTGCCCAAGATTGTGTGGCTGATTAGTGAACCGGACAGGTTTCCTACTGTAAATTGGTATTCTTTTCACACATTATTTAGAACTTCCAGACTAGTTTTTGAAATATTTTTCAACCTACTTTAGAATTTCACACAGAGCAGCCAAACCACGTAGCAAAAATAGAAGTTAAATTAATAAAATAGTAACTAATTAGCTTCTGGATGTGGAATCTAGAACAGTTTTAGGGAACAATGATATACATGAGGTCTGTCTGGGGAAAGTCCAGCCATTGTTAATATAATGAGAATGATTTGCAACATCAGCGTAACCTGGCAGCCAAGGAGAGTGGACTGGAGTGCACATGTGTGAACAAGGATGACTTCACTGTAGTGGTCAGTGGTAGGTGTCCTTGAATGAGCATGTGTACTGTGCAGACATTGCATTCAAAATGAGCAAATAGAGCAATGAATCTGCATCACATTTTGTATTAAGCTTGAACATTCCTCCCTGGAAAATGTTTGAATGAATCAGAAGGCCGCAGCTATGGGCAACTGGTGATTGGCAGCTTTATCACAACGGCATGCCTGTTTATGCATCATGTCTCATGCAGTTTTTTAGCAGACCATCAAATCACCCAGGTGACTTAGCCCCCCTACAGCCCAGATTTGGCACCCTGCAACTTACCTCTTTTCCCAAAACTAACATCACCTTTGAAAGGGAAGGGATTTCAGACCATCGATGAGATTCAGGAAAATACGACAGCTGATGGTGATTGGGAGAACTGTGTGAGGTCCCAAGGTGCCTACTTTAAAGGGACTGAGGTGTCTTTGTCCTATGTACAGTGTTTCTTGTATCCTGTCTCTTCTTCAGTAAATGTCTCTAGTTTTCCTATTACATGGCTTGGTATCTTCTGGACAGAACTTACTATTCAATTAATGGACATTTACTCCAAAAAGAAGCCTAGCAGAAAAGTCTCTACTAATGATAGATTTTTTTAGTCATTTTTTTCCTATCTGAACTGCCTCTCACTCTCTTAGCACTAGCCATTATCAGATTGTAAAAGCAATTGAATATTGTACAGTACATGTAGGTATATTATATGAAAGCATTTTTTAAGTTTTTATTTGCCCAAGTGATTGTGTACATTCTGAGAGCTTATAGTGTAATGAAGACGATCTTCACATACATGTGTGGATACATAAAAATGACTACGTGAAAAAATCAAATATATCTCTAAAATACAGCATCATTATAGATAATTATATAGATAATTATATATAGATATAGTATGTATATCAAAAGTAATAAACACGCCTAGCACCATGAATAATTATAGTAATCCTAGGTCATCCAAGGTGACAGCTCATTCAGCTCCATTCCGTCTATAAATATGAGTTTAGTTGCTGTGTGCCATGCACTTGCTAATAACTTGAGCTGCCAAAATAAGTGAGACAAGATCCTGTCCTACTTCTTGCTGGTAGATTATGATCTTAGGTGTTCTTGCATTTCTATTCTGTCTTCAGCTCTACTTTTTTCTCCCACTTTATTTCTTTGGCCTGTTTTTTTGGCCTTGACTGTACTTTGAAATTCCTTACTGATTTTTTTCATACAATGAACAGTGTTTGTGTCAGGCATGTCATGTACAAAAATGAGTAAGACACGGTCCCTGTTCTTCAAGCTCTCCCTCCTGCCTTCCTTCCCTCCCAGATCCTTTTAGAATTTCCTCCATTTACATTTTGATAGACGATGTGTTGAAGATTGTTTTAGTTAGAATGTTTGCTGGTGCTCTTAACATATTGACTTAAAATTTTACCTTTGTCTCCATCTTATCCAGGGAAGTGCCAGACACAGCTTCAGAATGTGACTCCTTAAATTCTTCCATCGGAAGGAAACAGTCTCCTCCTTCAAGCCTTGAGATATACCAAACATTGTCTCCTCGAAAGATATCAAAAGATGAGCTCTCCCTGGAGGATTCATCCAGAGGAGATTCACCCATCACCGCAGACCTCTCTCGGGGTTCTCCTGATTGTGGGGGTCTGACAGAGACGAAGAGTATGATCTTCAGTCCCACAAACAAAGTGTACAACGGCGTCCTGGAGAAGTCCTGCAGCATGAACCAGCTCTCCAGTGGCATCCCGGTGCCCACAGCACGCCACACGTCCTGCTCCTCCGGCGGCAGCCGCAGTAAAGCAGTGCAGGAGGTCCTGAACGCCGCCAGGGTGGGCAGCATCCCGCACGACCTCTGTCATAACGGAGAGAAAAGCAAAAAGCCATCAAAAATTAAGAGCCTTTTTAAGAAGAAGTCTAAGTGAACTGACTGACTCGCTGGAATTCTATTCAAGTGGCATCTTTAAACTTTTATCTCCCACCCTCTGTTCCCCTTTTTTTGTTTTAATTTTAGGAATGTAACTCCATTGGGGCTTTCCAGACTGGATGCCATAGTGGAATGTCCTTAAGGGCAGCTGTCTACTGTCTGCTTATTTAAATGACTATATAATCAATTTGTCAAGCTAGTTATTACTGAAAAATTATTAAGAGAGACAGTTTACAGTAATTTCTGCCTATTTATTTCTGCTTTGTTATTAGTGATGTATATACAACATTTTGTTGAAAGCCACTATGGACTTACAAGCTTTAATGGACTAGTAAGCCAGCATGGGCTTGCACAAATTTCTTGTTTACCAGAGCATCTTCTTATCTTTCCACAGAGCTATTTACATCCTGGACTAAATAACTCAAAAGAAGTAAAACTAATTGCACTACTGTTTTCCAGACTGGAAAAAAAATCTCTGCAAGTGAAACTGTATAAAGTTTATAAAGTGACTGTGGATAGGGGTCTGTTTTCACTTTTAGATCAAATGGGTTTTTAAGTAGAACCTAGGATTTCTAATTGACTTGATTTCTGGAAATGAAAACCCATGCTTTTATTATGGGAAGCTTCTTTAAATGCATTTAATATTATAAAGTTTCAAGTCCTGCTGTAAAGATCTTGTTGTCTTGTTTTTCCCAGGGCTTTCACTGTGATTGACTGCGTTGCAGGCTGTATCAGAATATCAGTAATTTAAAGACAGAAGGCTCTTTATTCCTTATGCAAGTGGAAGAGTTAAAACTTGGTCGAAGGACTTAAAAACATTCACAAGCTTAAACTGAGGTGGGGGGACATGGGGATTCAGACACTTGTTTACAGACTTTGAATAACTGCAAAGGATTTATGGTTTGTGAAGAATTTGTACTGTGGAAAAGATAATAAAATTGGAGACATTATTGTGTGGGACTGCTGATTTCTGTTGGTGACACTCCACTGAAACACTACGTGTTTTCTGAAGAGCTGTGTAAGCCATCTGGTTGCTTAATTACAGTATAAAAAATAGCGATGTGAGTTGTCAACAAATTTCTTTCTATTTTATATTGTTTGTCATGTTTTTATGTAGTTTGAAATGTTCAAATGTTCTAATATCAAAGTTAACAAATATAAATTTATGGTGCATTTAGATGGTGTTGTATTAATTTGTAAAGTTTGGGGTGCATTAAACTGATAGATTATTAAAAGGGTAGTTTTCACTGTGAAGATTGTCATATAGTACAACAAAGTGTATTAACACCTGGGAAGTTTCTGCTTAGAACGCTTCTTTTAAAAATTCAATCATAAATGATCTGGGTAATACAATGCAGATGGGTGTTTGGGTGAACAGCTGATACACATTAGCAAGAATGGTTTTTCAGCATTGTGGTTAAAATACATAATGTCTAATCCAGTCCTGTGTAGATGAAAATGCTGGTTGATAAGAAGTTTACTCCGAGATTTGCTCCAAAGAAATATTTTATTAAGAATATGAACAGTTTCATGAAATCTTTCTGTAAATTGTGATTGTACTGTTAAGGTCTTGAATGATATTTGTACACATGGGTATTTATATTTTTAATAGTGCTATAAGGCCAAAAATTGAAACAGACATAGTGCTTTGGATTAATTATAAGGGAAGAGAATATGGAGGGTCAGGGGTTGAAGAACATAGGTTCTCAAGCTGTTTACAAAGGGGAAGAATCATGCATGAAGAATCGAAAAGCATTCTGGGAAGTTTCTTCAGAGTGAATGTAATACCTCATTTTTCCCCCTTATAACCAGACAGAGTGCTTCCCCTCAGGAGGGATGAGATAACTTTATAGTTTACTGGATAGAAAAGGTAAAAGCTGCTGGAGGAGGAGTGAAGCTGGGAGAAGGCATGGCTCCAGGAGCTCCTAGCAAGGCCTGCTGCTTGTTCAAGATTAGGAGGGAGTTCTGGATCAGAACCACCTGCGTGCCAGAACTTGTTCGGGGCTGAGGGCACGGTGTGCACCCTCTTACATCAACGAAGGCATTGTTTGTGCCAAATTTCACACATTTATAAACAAATTCAGCCGAGGGATACTTACTGCATTGTGTTTCTTGTAATTTTTACTTGGCATTAGTATAAAGCTCTGTTTGAAACTTCAACAGAAAATAATTGTTTTGGAAAGCCACAATAATTTCTGTACTACATCATTTACATGTGAAGGATTGGGGATTAATACAAACTTTGTAAGTGACCCTTTCGTTACCTTATTTTAACCTCATAAAACCATGGTGTTTTCCTATGTTCTTAAAGCAGTATTTTCCTTACTAGAGAAAACAATCCATGATAGAAATGTATAAAGAAGAAGAAGAACAAGCAGGTCAAATTCTGCCCAAATAATTGCTTTCAATATTTTAGTATGTTTCTTGGTAAATCATTTTCTATATATTGATACTGTATATTATATATTTAATTTCATACCATGCTTTATTTAATAGAAACACTTCTCCAATATCATTAGCAACTTTTCACAAATAACATTTTAATGATTATAATACGCCATTGTATGGATTAACCATATCTCTTTAATCATTCTTTTATTATTAATCATTAGGCCATTTCCCAATTTCTTATATGTGGACTAATAGCATTTGACATTTATTGAGCACTCCATTTTCCAGGCACTGTTCTAAACTCAATCTACATTCTCATTTAGTCTTCCCACCTCACTTGTAAGGTAGGCACATTTTTTCCCTTTGGCTTTTAAAATCACCATTTTACTAGTGAGGAAACTTAAGTGCAGAAAATTAATAACTTGCTAAAGGTCACATAGCTAGTAATTGGTAGAACCATGTTGTTAAATTCTAAGTTATATCACATAAATTCTAACCAATTTTTATCCTTAGGGTATATATATTTAGAAGTATATAGAAAACCATGAAGATGTTTTAGTTTATAAGTACTTGTGTACCTGTCCACACAGTACGGAGTCTCACGTACGTACCTTGAGTTAGCTGTTTTCAAGGTTCCTTCTCCACATGGCCATGTTTATATCTCTCCCACCACATGAGTGTATGAACACCTTTTGCTTTGCATTGACTTTAGGAGTCACCATGTGCTTACAACTTCACTAATTTAATAGGTAAAGAATGTATGGTGGGAAAGGATTCCTGGTACATTGTTCATTTCAGTGAATTATCTGCTCATGTCTTTTATCCGTTAAGTTCTTGGGATCCTAGTGTTCTTCCAACTCTTGTGTATAGACTTGCAAATGTAGCTGTTCTTGTATTCTTTATTTACCAACTAAAATAGTAATTTAAAAAAATTATGTATTTCTTCATTTTTATTTTAAAAAAACAGCAAAAGAACCTAGATTTCAGTTTTAGTATTATTGATCTTGTGTTTTTAGGTCTTGAATGAGAGGATAGATTCTCCCCCCAAAATTGCAGGTGAGAGACAGTACAGAATCCACTTAATTCATTCAACTAACATTTAATAGCTTACCATATAACAAGCATCATGATAAGCTCTGGGGGTATAGAGACTAATGCAACAACAGACCAATGCAGCAGCAGACCAATGCAACAGCAGACTAATGCAACAGCAGACTAATGCAACAGCAGACCAATGCCCTGGCAGGCGTGTCTGACCTGCAGCCTGTGGGCCGCCTGCAGCCCAGAACGGCTGTGAATGCAGCCCAACACAAAATCGTAAATTTACTTAGAACATTGTGAAGGGTTTTTTTGTGTGTGTGATTACATGTCACAATGTATTTAATGTGTGGCCCGAGGCAATTCTTCCAGTGTGGCCCAGAGACGCCAAAAGGTTGGACACCCCTGCGGCCTAAAGGAACTCGATTATCTAATAGAGCAAACAAAAGTCCTTATAATAAGGGCAGGGATAGAAGTGTAAACCAGATGTTGAGGAGGTGGGAGCTAATGGGGAGAGAGTTTGTAGCTCAAAGTAGTTACTAAGTGTAATTTAAAGGTGCTAACTTGCTGGGGGTGTGGAGAAATTTGCTGTCTGGAACATACAAATCCAGGGGTAAGTTAGCTTTGGGGCTTCTACTAACTAGTAGTTCAGTTGTAATGAACGAGCTTGCACTTCCTGAGTTTCAGCAAAAACACTGTAAAAACTGTGAGGGTGCTTGTTTTGAGATAAGTTGTTTACCCCGGAGAAACACAGCATTTGAGCAATGCCATGTAAGTCCTGATACTACCAATGAGCAACTGCTGTGCCCCACACCCCCAGCCCTGAAACAGCAAAGTCTCTGCTGAAAGACACGCTCCTCCCGATGTACCCAGGTAGGCCTTGTCCTGTCTTAAATCAACTGGTGTCGAGTGGGCTTCAAGCCAAGATTGGGGATTTTAGCTGGGTCCTGTGGTTAGGGTTACCTGAATAAGTACAGGTCTCCGAAATGGCCCTGAAGAGGTCCTCTCTGTGGCAGTGTCTGCTGTAGGCCAGGGAGGACATCCAGATCTTGGTCACTGTGCAGGGACTCAAACTGTGCTCGGGGTCCCGTCACGAGTTAAGAGTTTTGACCCCAGGTTCTCCCTTCTGATGTTTCACGGTTTGCTGGACATGTTGCCGTGCCTTCATCGGCCTCCACAAGTGAGAGAGAGCAGTGAGCCTGGGGATGGCAGGCAGTTGGCTTCCCCCTGGTGGGAAGAGTTCTGCAAACGCCTCCCAGGGAGTCCCCGTTGCTCAGCCATTCAAAGCTCCAGGCCCTAAAAGCAAGGGCAGCGCCTCCGCTTCCCCTTCCCACCTTCTTCCGTTTGCCTTGACAGCTTCTAGGAAGCAGGACTCAGGAAATGTTATCTGGGTCAAAATTGTTCTTCCTCTTGGTTGCAACATTTTAATTCCAAAAGCAGCCGCGCTAGTGTTGCAGTTCTGTTCAGAATATCTTGTGTTTGTTTATTATGTACAAGGTCTTTATTTGAAGCATCTGAGTTCTAGAATGTCCACTCGAGCTAATTTTCCACGTGTGAGAGTGAACTGCTGAAGACCACAGACCTGTAGTTCCCAGCCATGCTGGCCCTGGCGGGGGTGCAAGGGGGATGAAGGCTCCTGCCACTTGTGAACCAGAAAAGCTTTCTAGAATAAGAATGCGGCTTTTATGTTTTGTTGTTGAAATACTAGGTCTTCAGGTTTGATTGTTTTCTTGAGAAAGCTTTCTAATAACACTGGGGATATGCATCTATAGCCAGAAAGTACAATGATGAGAATTTAAAAGAAAGGGGGATGGGGGTGATAAAATGAATCGTGAGTGCGGCAGTGAATAGTACCAGGCGTTGCCTTTGACCTGTGAGGTGAAGGTAAGAAAACCAACCTGAAAACCGGACCAGGCATGGGACCTTGGAGAAGGGGGGGATGTAGGGAGGGAAAGGATGCACTTCCTGTTCGATCGCCAAATCTCGTCCATTTAATCCGAGTAGCTCAGCTGATGTCTCTACTGCCTGGGGCCTCACCTTCATTTCTCATATTAATTACCTTCAACATGCAAACTGAACCCACACTTACCTCCTTTTATCCTCTCATTGGTGAGCTTTCTTAGCCATATGGCGGGCTTTTTCTGATTAGAATCTTTCTAGGACTTTCTCATTACCTGCAGGATAAAATATAAACTTAATAGCGACTAGCAGAAGACTGATATTCTGGGCCCTGCTTGCTTCTCCAGCTGCATGGTTGGTCATGGTAGGGATGTAACCTGAGCATCAGCCCAGAGCTGCACACAGTTTCCTGAACTAGCCAGGCTGCCCCCACCCACCTCGCCAAATCTGCATGGGCTGCTTTTTCCACCTGGGTCATCCTCTCCCTCCTGGAAACCTTTCACTCAGCTCAGGGGCAGCTCCAGAAAGACTTTTACATGAGTCCCCAAAGTTGGTGCCGTACCACTTCCATGAATGTCCAGAACTTTGTGTTTATTACACACTTGTCACATCCTATTACAAC